CTGGAGTGAGAAGGGTACTTTTAGGTTGTGACAAATAAGCGGGGTAGTATATTCTCTTGCTGGGGATAAGGGGTGAGGGGGTATTGTCTTAGTTGGGGCTTGTTTTTGCAGGACAATTGCATATGGTTGCCTATGGTGAAGAGAAATCCACAATCCTCTTCAGTCTTCATGTAATAATCCATGGTTACCCAATTGTTTTTATAATAAATAAAAAAATGACCCATCCAAGCTGGGCATGTGCAACATGCTAAAGGCCATTACTTTAGAATTGGCACCATGTATAGATTTTTCTGGGGCAAGAAATTCATTGTCTAATCATTTAGATGTTATATGTGATTGACAGTCAGATTTGGTAGGTCCGTCTTATTGTCGACTCCTATTATCTTTCAAATCTTTAACAAAATTAAATGAACATAAATTACTAATCATGAACAAATTATGATTTTTACACACATAATCGAAGGGTGAATAAAATTAAAAGATTAATATTCTTGAAACAAAAATAGTCATATTCAAATGAATGACTTTTTTGTTTGATACACCTGGAATTGCTTAAAGGACAAAGAGAGAGAGTGTGTTAAACAATGTACTTGACAAGAATTGCCGATCAAAGAATCTAATTCCTCACATTCCCATCAGTGATTCAAGAAAAGATTTTGTGACTCCCTAAAACCGGGAGTCCTTTGTCAACCGTTGACCATTTGTCAACCCGCATAAATACCCATGATTGTCGCCAAATCTGACATCACATCAATAGAATCCCTTTAACCGCAATTGTTACCCATGCTTATAACACATGTATATTTTGCCATTTGACCCAACTGGGTCCAACACATCACAATTTATCTTTATTTTATGTCCATTTATATCCTTGGAACCAAATAACTCAAAGTCCAAAAGCATGACAAAACAATTTTTAAAATTTCAAATTTTTGAATGTCCTATTGGTAGGGTGAGCCTACTGGAAAATTTCTACCGATAGGGTGTACTGGTACGATTTGCCTATTGGGCATCGTCATACCGGTATGTCCTACCGGTATACTTAGCCGACTTTTGCCTATTTCATATGTTTTGCATTTTCAACTCATTCCAATCCTTTCCACCATCATCCAGAACATGCTTAATAAGGTTTTTCATATAAAACCTAATATGTACAAGTTCTATTACAGGAATTTTATACGGTTACATAACAAAAACATAATTTTCACAATAGTTTTAAAAAAACAAATTCAAGGCCACAAGTCGGCCTTTCTTCATCACTGGGGCCCCGAATGAAAGCCGCCCACTGGTGTGTATCCCCCATCTGAAATATTTTCCCATATAGGATGAGCTACGCTCAATAGAGTATCACCCATAGAGGCTACTCCCCAACCTAGATGCATATGAAATGTGCACATACAATAATCAACAACCATTATCCATTCCAATCAAGAACATGTAATTCAAGATGAGAATTCTACCATATCATATCATGATATGAGATGAGACTCACTTATGCATTTTATCCCAAGTCTTCACCGACTCTCATAACACAATGCAATGCACGTGTTTATAAACCAAATCATTATTGGATATTGTCCACCAAATGAGTACTTTCTAATACAAAATCACGTGTCTTTGTTAGGAATCGAATTTTGGAATCACACCGTTGGCTCCGTACGTCATTACACTTTTCTGGAATTTCACCACAGGGGAGTGTATGAACCAAGTATCCGGACTTTGCACTCGAGAGAGAATCTATCACTTCTTGCTATACCCGATACAAGTTTTTCTAATTGCAACCATGCGACTCAGTCGGATCTTCAATCCAACTTTCCCGAGCTCACCAATCAATCACCAAATATGACATTTGATCATACCATGCACACACACACTCACTCATATCGAATGCCCATTAATGCAATGCCAACTTCATGCCCATTATGCAATAAATGTTAAATGAACAATTAAATTGCATATCAACATATCCTATGATAATTTATATCCTAAGCATATAATTACCACAATCATCATGATGCTAATATATTAATAAAATATATTAACTCATTCATACTCAACAACATTTCACAAGCATATTACTACATAATCTATGTCAATAACATGCTTTATTCACAAAGACACAATATTAACACTTAACATACCACATAATATTAAATTTCAAGAATTTTCACAAGTGCCATTCCCATATCAAATTCAAGCTAGAATTAGATTTAGGCCATTTTCACATATCAACAACAATAGGTAAGTGACCTATGTTGTTATATACACTTACCCATCCCATATAAACATCCTAGGTAAGAAATAAACCCGAGTAGGAGGAAACCCTACCTCCTGAAGCGTGACACGAGTGGTAGAAAGCCTTAAGAACACCTCCCAATCCCAAAACTTTTGATTTTCCCAAATCTTCTCTTTGGATCTTTGGTGAAATCCTTCATTTTTGGTACGTAAGCGTAGCCTTCATCGAGTTAATTGATTTTAACTTTTGGTTCGAATGATTCCGACCAGCGGAACTTCGTAGATCGTAGAGAGAAGTCTTGATTTTTTCTTTTTCTTGTCTCCCTTCATTCTCTTCCTCTTTTAACGTGAGAATCAGCTGATCAAGTGGGGAAGATCAAATATTTTCCCCTATTGATACCCTTTAGTTGTGCGGTCCACGTTGCGCCGCACGTTTCTTATTTTTGGGTCTGTTTTTGTTCCGAAATAACTTAATTTAATCCTGTTTTAAGTTTAATTTGTTTTTATTTGAAATTTTTTTCAATTATAAGGAAATTTTATAAAATTTATTTATGAGGACGTTTGTTAGGTCACCGACACCCAATTGTCTCGTAAAACATGCAAAATTCAACTATCTCGAAATTCGACGAAAATTATTTGGGCAACTCGATTTCGCGAGACGAATCCAACGATGAGGTCCGTTGCATCGTTTGAGTTCTATAGAAATATGTATTTTAAATTCGCATTATAATGACAAATTATTGTTTTACCCTTTTTCGAAAAAAGTTCAAATTTACCTAGGTTTTACAGATTCTTAGCAATTTTGTGTTTTTAACTCTCATTATTTGGACGTTTCAAAAAAAAAAACTCTCATTATCTTGAAGATTATAAAGAAATCATCAAAGTGAAAGGTGATACCATAAGGATAGAAAGGAGGAAAAGTGAAAGACTTAAATTATTCCATTTGGACGCCTGATCTTTACACACATAATCAAAGGGTGAATAAAATTAAAAGAATAATATTCTTGAAACAAAAATAGTCACATTCAAATGAATGACTTTTTTGTTTGATATACCTGGAATTGATTAAAGCACAAAGAGAGAGAGTGTGTGTGTTAAACAATGTACTTGACAAGAATCGCCGATCAATGAATCTAATTCCTCATAGTTTGTATGTTGGATCTGGATTACTCCCAATGCCTCACATTCCCATCAGTGGTTCAAGAAAAGATTCTTAGCAATTTTGTGTTTTTAACTCTCATTATTTGGACGTTTCGAAAAAAAAAAACTCTCATTATCTCGAAGATTATAAAGAAATCATCAAAGTGAAAGGTGATACCATGAGGATAGAAAGGAGGAAAAGTGAAAGACTTAAATTATTCCATTTGGACGCCTGATCTTTATTACTTTAATTATTCTTGTTTAAGCACTTCAAGTTTAGAACATTGTGTATTTGATTCCTTATTATCCCTTAAAAGGATTTGTCCCATCGATTGGTGCTTCCTCCTAGATGTTAAATAGACTCTACTGATTTTTTAAGAGGCATATGCCAAAACAAAATATGATGGAGAGAAAGAACTGAGAACTGCAAAAATCATGTTGTTATGATTTGATTAAATCATAACTTTCTAGGTTAATTTCAATGTGAACTCTGTGATGGATTACATTGCATAGGATGCCATTAATATATATATACATATATATTAATTTTGCTATTTATTGAAAAAAAAAATTAACTTTTATTTTTAAACACACAACTTTGGATTTTATAGAAAGAAACAAATAACGACTTAGGTATGAGTTGTATCGATTTGCGTATTGTGTTTCCTACTGAAAATTATTATTATTTTTTGCTTGATGCATATGATTTTTTTTGATTAAAAGTGTATTGTACAAATTAAATTAAATAAATGAACAAAATATTTATTGCAATATTTTGTAAAAATACGTTATTTATTGATTCATATTTTTTTTTCCTAAATAAGACAATACTAATGGATTGAAATTATTTTTTATTCCATTCCAAACATGGTATAAAATTGAATAATATTTTTTTACACAAGGGTGCAATATGTTTTATTGTCACATGTGAATGGGACCCACAAACCAAATTAATACTTAAATCTCTCAAGTTCAAAATGTTATGCTTAAATAAAAAATACTTTAATTAAAAATAGAATATCAAATATTTAAAATTTTAAATTCAAAATTCATGTTCTATTGTATCATTCATTGAAATAAAATAAAAATAAAAGCCAATTTTTTCTTAAAAAATCGTAATTAGTATACAATTATATTATCTATTAAATAAAACTAAAAAAATAAATAAGGGGTCTAAGTTATTCATAATAAAACATGAATTTAATAACCAATGATAGTATAATTATATATTAATTATAATCTTTTAAGAAAAATTAATTTTTAATTTTTATTTTATTTCAATAAATGTTATAATAGAACATGAGTTTTGATTGTAAAATTTAAAATATTTGACATTTTATCTTTGATTATAATATTTTTGGTCTAAACTTGAGGTGTCTATGTATTACATGCTTATAAACTTTAGAAGGTCTAAGTATAATTTACTAACAGTTATATTAACGGATATTTAATAGAGTCTAAGTGTTATATATGTACAAATTTCAAATATTTATGTATAATATTTTAACTGTTTTGATGGTTTTTGTGATTAAGCAAAAAACTTCGGGAGGTGGACATAATTCTCCCTATTTATAACCATCTACAGGGGATGCGACTGTAATTCGTCCCTTTTTTTTTCGAAGTCTCAAGAGAGCAGTATATAAGAGCTCATAGCTATCAATCAACATACTTGAGATAAGAGAGAAGAGACAGAGAGACACGAGAGGAAGGAGCAACTATGGATCAGAATCAGAGTAAATATTGTGAATTTAAAGGTCAACCTCGACTCCCGAAATTCGCAATTCCGAAACGCTACGATCTGAAGTTGAAACCCGATCTCGTAACCTGCAAATTCACTGGTGTTGTCGCTGTCACCGTCGATGTCGTCGCCGATACCAAGTTCATTGTCCTTAATGCCGCCGAACTCTCGGTGGATCCCAAGTTTGTGCAATTCAAAGGCCCTAAAGTATTGCCCAATCTCCAAAAAACAAAGCCTTTTTTCATTTTAATTTTTTGCAATCCCAAAAATTTGTTGATTTTTGTATGGTGAACGAAAAATGATTTTGTTTTCTCACAATTTATGTATTTATTCTAATAGGTATTGGAGGCATTGGAGGTTGAATTGGTGCAGGAAGATGAGATACTGGTGGTGGAGTTTGGTGAGAGTCTTCCGATTGGCGTTGGGGTTTTGAGTATTGCTTTTCAGGGAACCTTAAATGATAGGATGAAAGGCTTTTACAGAAGGTACTTCTTGATCTCTTTTTCACACAGACGCAAACATTTCTGACACAGGGACTTTATTATTTTCTGGCCTTTTAGTTTAAGCTATGCTTTGTATCATTTGGTGGTTTGCCTTCAAATAATTTCAGTAGAGAAGACGCTGCAAAAAATTATATCCGGTGCCCAATTTAAGAAAGAGGATAATTTGTTTTCTTTGTAAAATTCCAGACTGTTACGATGGAGGTTAGAAAGGAGTTTTATACAATGAACCCAAACAGCCTCGGTGCTGTCACCTGTATCATCGAGTAATTGTTTGTATTTTGTTGAATGACTTTTTATGAACAAAAGGAAAATATAAGGGAGAATTTTACTTTGCACCCCAAAAGATTAAGGTTTCTTATTTTGCACCCTAAAAGATTAGAATTTTCACGTTGCACTTTCAATGTGATAAAAGTGTTACAATGTGGCCTTTCGTTTGCTTCTGTTGGTTATTCAGTTAACTTTGATGGAATGAGGAATGAAAACTAATAGAAGGATCACATTGCAACACATTTAATATATTGAGGGTGCAATGTAGAAAGTTTAATTTTTGTGACTGTAAAGTGGAAATTCCTAAATTTTTCAGGCTGCAATTTGCCCAAAAAATATTAAGTAAAAAGAGCCATATTTTGGTTATTTTTGTTCCCACGGAAGCTCAATCTCCTTGAAACATTAGGGATACAATTTTTTTTTTTATCTTTTGTCAAAAAATGTAAAAAGAAGAAAAATAAGAAATAAAGTGTTCCGACATAAAGAATGCAAAAAAAAGAAAAAAAGTACTATTCCAAGTTAAAATGGTGTGGCTAAAGGAAAACATTATATGGCCCAGGATACTAATGTCGTCGACAGTTGGAGATAATGTTTCCATCTTGAACTACTTTGATTCTTCATATTGGATCATATTATGATGGGATTGATAAAACATCTCAACCAAATAATATTAATGGAAAAAGAATTAATCATGAGACAACAAAACTAAAACTTTAATAAAATCTGTAAATTTACTCTCTTCCATAGTTTTTCTTGCAAACACAAATTTTGAAATCGGCTACGACTTTATAGTGCAAATGTTAATGTCATGCATTTATCTAATAGAATTAGATAAATAAAAAGACGCTGGTCCCAACTTGGGTCACCTAAATGTGGGATTATCTAGTTGACATAACTTTTTTTATTTATTTTTTACTTATCAAAAAAAAAATTGTGTCTATATTGAGGTTTTAAACATCAAGCCAATTCAAATTGCTTCAAGGAAAAATGGTGGCCGAGTTAGGGTTTGTGCGCCAGTTTCGAAGAAATCTTATAGGAAGTAGTATAACATTTTGGACAAAGTTGGTGGTGAAAATGTATAATAAAAGACGGTTTTAATCATTCCGTTTCCCTTAGATTGCTTCAACATATGAAGGACAACATATACCTCTTTGGAGAACTCAATGCGTGCGTCAGTTTGGAAGAAATCTTATAGGGAGTAGTATAACATTTTGGACAAAGTTGGTGGTGAAAATGTATAATAAAAGACGGTTTCAATCATTCCTTTTCCCTTAGATTGCTTCAACATATGAAGGACAACATATACCTCTTTGGAGAACTCAATGCGTGCGTCTTCAAACGTAAGAGCAACAGACCATACTTTTGCATCTGAGGAGGACTAAACCTTCTTTTTCTTTTGGAAGGTGTCTAAACCTTCTTTAACCTTTGAGTGGATTATCTGAATGAGATAAAGGATTGGATTTTTTGTTGAAGCAAGGAAGATAGAGAATGAGGGCAGGGCAACTATGGCAGGATTTGGTTGAAGGGTAAAGAAGAGAGAGAATAGAGATAATGGTTTTCAAGAGAGATGGCTATGTATGGAAACTTGAGAAAGGAGAGAGAGAGAGAGAGGGGAAAAGAGAATGGAGATATGTGGGGAAAGAGAACAGAGGTGATAGAGAGAGAACAACCTCGATTTCAGTTGTTTTTTTTAAGCTTGTGGTTGACTTTTTACAATTAAACTAAGTAGGTAATATGTTCTGATGTAATAGTTGTATTCTTTTATTTTCTTCTGTTTTTGACAACCAAGATGAAAACTATATGCTATATATGTGAATTTTCATGAGCTTTTAATTATTTTCATCCAGCACCTACGAACACAATGGGGAGAAAAAGAATATGGCAGTGACACAGTTTGAGCCAGCTGATGCTAGGCGATGTTTTCCGTGTTGGGATGAACCTGCTTGTAAGGTATTGCCAATTCATTCTCTGTGTGTGTGTGTTTGTTGAAACGAGATTTTACAATGAATATGCAATTATTTGTGTTTTCTGAGAAAATTAACTAGAAATATAAATTTTTTTTTCTGTGGCTTAAAGGTTGAAACAAACACTCCATTACTTGGATGACGTCTGCATCACGACCACCACTATGACTAGCATGAAATAAAACCTCCATTACCCTCACTAGATACTAAAGCATAAGACTCCTGTGAGGATGAAGTCGTCCCACAATTAAAAGGTGGGCACTGAAGATGGGAGTAAGCAGACTGAAAATCAAATGGAATTGGATTTCTCCCAATCCATTATTGAACTGCCCAATCCGTCCGTTTGCCACTTTGAATCAGTGTCCCTCATCCCATTACCTGCACCTGAAAAAGAGGAAAAAGATTGAGACAATATCTCTTGACAAAGATAAATCAGCAATTGTTACATTAGACAAGACTGTACTTGTTATTAGAAAAGCTTGCCCAAGCATTTACCTGTATTTATACAAGTTCTGAACTGCCCTCCTCCGCAGCCTCCTTTAGATCTGTAGAATGATATTAGGGTTGTGCTGTCAACTAAACTTTGACTAGTGATAATTGGTAACTATTGAGTAGTGCATGTAGGAATTGAACCACCATTGTCTTTTGAAAATGAAAATAGAAAAGTTTTTCTTTGGGTCCCTTAAGATGAAACTCTTGGAGGGCTAGGTTTGCCCCCCTCTGAACTGGTTTGTGGGAAAGCTTGTTCTGAGTTAGTTACTATACAAACTATAACCTATCAAGGCTTGTATGACTTTGGCAAAAACAAACCAATTGAAAACCAGTTTGCCTTATGCTCGGCGGATTTGGGTCCAGGATTTCCAGAATAGGCATATTAGAGTTTTATGTGGACAGTAGAGCTGGGAATGTCTACACATTCAGCAGTTTTTTTAATATTATTCCAAAACCTAATAAATATTCTGCATTGTGTATAAATATTGAGAAGTGGTTTACGATGACCAGAACTAGAACCAGACATCATAGCCGGGTGGCTGGGGGGGTTTTGTTTGATATTCAGGTGGAACTTCTGCACCTGCATGATTTTTGTACTTAATTTAAAAAGTGACTGAACCAGGTTCAACAAACTCATGTTTAGGGGGTGACTGTTAGGATCCGAGGTTTGCATTGTTACCGTAAATTTTGAAATCTGCGATACATGTTGTGTATTGAGCAAGATTCTGCTCTCCATCAGCCAGTCGGCCAGGTGGAGCAGAAGTACACATAGTCTGCACCCTTGCAAAATGTATCAAATATCTAAGGTCTATGCATTATTTTATTTGTGTTGGCAAGTGAATCTATACATCACTTATGATCAATATGTATTTTGCAAGAGTGCAATTTAATCCTAGAAGAACTCTACTATGTGCATTTCTTGTGACACGCACTGTAGTTTATTATAAAGTGTTTATCTGTTTCTATTGGAAACAAATGTACTTGATCGTCATTCATCTATATATACAAACACATATAGGTGAGTTTTTGATTCTATTAAGCTAAATTTTTTTATAATTTGTTGCAATTTCAAAGCATGAGGTTTTATTTCTAATTTTTCCTTGTTTTACTTAATATATGATGTGCAGGCTACATTCAAAATTACATTGGAAGTGCCATCAGAACTTGTAGCTCTTTCCAACATGCCTGTTATTGAGGAAAAAGTGAGCAACAATCTTAAGACTGTGTATTATGAGGAGTCGCCAATCATGTCTACATATTTGGTGGCAGTTGTTGTTGGCTTGTTTGATTATGTTGAAGATCATACATCAGATGGTACGATTCTGACTATCTTTGTGTTATTATGCTAGTGCTATAATGTTCTTATTCTTGTTGTCCTGACAAAGTAATTTCATCTTCACACAGGAGTTAATGTTCGCGTATATTGCCATGTTGGCAAGGCAAATCAAGGGAAATTTGCTTTAGATGTTGCGGTTAAAACACTTGGATTATACAGAGAGTATGTTTTAATGTCTCATTCTTTCTGCACAAATGTTTTTCATCAGTAAAAATCTTCATTTTGTGGACGAAAAAAATTCAGACCACTCTCCATTCTATTTTTCCTACTAGCTTTTCAAATTCTGTTTCTCTTTGCTTTTTGTCATGCAATAATATATTTGGTTTAGGTTCATTAACAACATTTTGTGAAAATGTGGTTCTAATTTTCCAAGGGAAGTCCTGTAGGTATTTTGCTGTGCCATATTCACTACCAAAATTGGACATGGTTGCGATTCCTGATTTTGCTGCTGGAGCCATGGAAAATTATGGATTGGTTACATATCGGGAAACAGCATTGCTCTATGATGAAAAGCACTCTGCAGCTGCTAACAAGCAGAGGGTAATGTGCATATGACTTGAAAAGTCGATCTTGGAGTCCGAATCGTGTTCAAGTTGATTTATATTGATATTGTTACTCTAGTGCCAAAATTGATGAATCATGTCATTAGCTTTTGTTCAGGTTGCAATTGTTGTAGCCCATGAACTTGCACACCAGTGGTTTGGCAATCTTGTGACAATGGAATGGTGGACACATTTATGGCTGAATGAGGGATTTGCAACATGGGTATTTTGCTTTGGTATCAGATATTCATGGTTAAATCTGTCTAGTATTTGCTGGTAAACCATTCACAAATGTTTTCTTTGTGTTCAGGTGAGCTATTTAGCAGCAGATAGCTTGTTCCCAGAATGGAAAATTTGGACTCAGTTTCTTGAAGAAAGTACTGAGGGTCTACGGCTGGATGGACTTGCAGAATCACACCCCATTGAGGTAAATAAGGATGGTTGACTACTAATCGTATTTGTGTGGTCTATTGCTGGAGATAAGAGTCGACACTTTTTTTCTATATATAATTAGGAACGAATTATCATAAAACCTCTATTAATATTTTTCTTGCAGGTGGATATAAATCATGCAAGTGAAATTGATGAGATTTTCGATGCAATAAGTTATAGAAAAGGTGCAGCTGTCATCCGAATGCTACAGAGCTATCTTGGTGCTGAATGTTTTCAGGTTTGGTAATTTGGTTTGTATTAGTTTGCTGTCTTTGGTCTTTTATTCTTTCACGTGGTGCTTTGCTTTGTTGCTTTACCTTTTGTTCATGTGGGGTTTTGCTAAGTATCATAAAGGTTTCTTTTTTGTTCCATTTCAGAGGCAAACTATGACAGTAAAAATGGCTTCTATCCTAGTTATGTAAATTTGCTTTGAGTTGTTTGGAGTAAGAATGAATTGGAACTTATATTTGATTGAAGGTTATTTGATAAGCATGGATTTCTTATGTGATGTCTATATGAGATTGTTTCGAAAGATCAGGAATTGGAGTAGTTTATTCTGTAAAATGCATGGGTACCACAATTGTGATTGTTGAATAAATTATTAGTTTCCTTGAAAGAATGGTCGTCAATTGGGTTTCTATTTTGGTAATGATAACAAGAGCATCCAATTCAAAATAAATTTACAAAGAGTAGAGAGGACCCTTAACCATATAAGACTTCTTTGGGTGGTCATAATCAGTTTATGTGGGATGCAAACTCTAGCTACCTCATTTGATACTGGGACTCCTATGCGGGGCTAACAAACAGACAGACAACCAATCAAATCGAAAAATATAAATGAGTAAAAGACTTGTCCGATTGACCACCCAAGACCCATCTCTTATAAAGGATTGAACATTTGACTTAAAACAATAAAACTAATTGACAATTAGTAGAGAGGCCCCTTAACTATATAAATTAATCTTGAGTGCTTTTATTCATTTGATGTAGGATACAAGCTATCTTTACACCATACCCAAGTGTGACCCTGGCTCCCACAACAAACAACTAGAAAAACATGCATATCAGCCACCAGGAAATTTAGATGGATAAGAGACTTGGGCCACTGAAAACCCAAGACCCTGCTCTGATACCATGTTAGGGTATCTAACTGAAAATATATTGGTGCCCCTTAACCATGAAGCAATTTTGGGTTGTTCTAATCATTTAATGTGGGATACAGTTCTCTTAAAATCTTCAGAGAAACAAAAGAGGGAGATTCTTCCCTTGACAGGTTAGATAAGTTAGATTAATGCTATTACATAATGTTTACTCTTGTGAACAAATATATCACAATCATGGAAGAGAGACTTAATCATTCTAGTGTCAATGGATGAACTGATGAGCTTGTAGGTGCTTAACATTTTGTTGATCAACTTGTCTCACTTAGACCAATCTATATACTCAGGTCGCAAATTATGTTAAACCAATGAGAAATTGAGAGGAAATGAGAAAACCTGGAAATCTGAACCAAAAAGCCTATTCTTTCAGTCCATGAACCTATAAAGTAGATAATTTCCTTGTATGCCTTGTGTAACTTTATTAAAATCACATTCAATTCTTCAACCTGTGAAATTAAGGGAACAAGCACAACTATAAATAAATGGGAAAAATATCAGGTGTGACTATAATAACTGAATGGGCAGTAGATCTTCAGCGATTTCTATTCTTTGGATTGACCTACAACCAGAATAAGACTGATAAAAGCAATAAATAAAGAAGTCACGCCTGATATTTGATGTTTATTATCTGGAGGTTGGATGTTTAATTCACCTTGTGATTTGAAACAAGTTCTTGATGTAGATTGTAATTTGACTCAAGTTTATTTATGATATTTTAATGAAGTTTTCTAATTCAAAAAAAATTAAACTAATAAAGAAGTCCTTTTCTTTGACCTTCGGAAGAATATGAGAAGTTAAGTGGTTTAGGCCGGAGATGAATATATAGGAGTTCCTGTTTCATGATTTGGGGTTAATTCATCGCAGACACGATGACCGAAGATATTCTTTTAAATTATGAAACAGCTACAATAAATATAGTAACTGAGAAGTACATTTCCTACATAGCATATGTACGATGCAACAAAATTAGCTTTATTCCTTATAAAATTGAAGCGGGACATCCTATAGGTTCAACTTTAAAGCTCAATTTGACAATCTGTATGTTTGTGGAACATGAGATTGTGATGAAATTGGGGACTCAAGATATCACTGTTTTTGCTTATGATGATTTCATGTATTTCGGTGCACTGATATATTTTATATAAGATAAACTTATCGTGAACTTCGTTTTATGTAACACAAGGGCAGTAGCTGGTTGACTCATTCTATTAAGTTTACAGCTTTTATTTACCAGCATGACCTGATTGCCAGTGATCATGGGAGTTTTCTGTAACTGACTGTTTGGTTGATGTAAAAATTTGTTTTTAAGTGTAGTTCATATCATAATTGATGCCTGTTTAAATGATGATTCTGTAAAATGTTAAATGACGGAAAACTATGCTACTTTTTGTTGCTCATTAATCAATTCTTCTGTTATTACTTATGCTCGTGATCTACTTTCAGTTTCCTTTTCTGAAATTCCCATTTTTATTAGTTGTTTATGTGAGATTTTACATGTTTTTGTTGTGATTTTTTCACGCTATAAGAGGGCTCTTGCTTCATACATACAAAGACATGCTTGCTCAAATGCAAAGACAGAAGATTTATGGTCTGTCCTTGAGGAGGCATCCGATGAACCTGTGAACAAGCTAATGAACTCATGGACAAAGCAAAAAGGTTACCCCGTTGTGTCTGTCAAAGTCAAAGATCAGAAATTGGAGTTTGAGCAGGTTTTCTCATTGCTGACTTCCGTTTTTCATTGTTTTTGTTACTCAATTAGCACTTGTAAGGTGACATCTCTTAACCGAAATTATTAAGCCCCTGTTACATCATGGATAATGGAATACATTTAGAACTTCTGATAATAGAGTTATTTACGTTTGAAATTCTGATAATATATTATCTATTTTAATGGCAGTCACAATTCTTGTTGAGTGGTTCACACGGGGATGGTCAATGGATTGTTCCAATAGTACTGTGCTATGGTTCATACGAGTCTCGTCAAAGTTTTTTATTGCAAACAAAATCTGAAGCACTTGATATAAATGAATTCTTGGGTTTCTCAATATCCAAAGCCAGCCTCATGGAGACAGGAAAGGAAGGCAAAAGTAATTCAGTATGTGCTTGGATAAAACTTAATGTGGACCAGACAGGTTTCTATAGAGTGAAATATGATGAGGACCTATCAGCTAGGCTTAGATATGCAATAGAGGGCAAATGCTTATCTACATCGGATAAATATGGTAATTTTGATCTTTGATTTATACTTTTATTTTTGCTGGTGGTTAAAGGAAGTAGCTAACGTTAAGTTATTTCTCTTTCACAGGCATCTTGGATGATTCATATGCCTTATGCATGGCTTGCCAGCAGTCTTTGACCTCTTTGCTTACTTTAATGGGTGCTTACAGGGAGGAAATTGATTATGCTGTGCTGTCTAACTTGATTAGTGTAATGTTCGCCTCGATATGTTTATTTATTTTGATTCAGGCATTCTCTGTGTTCTAATTCCACTTTTTGTTTCCTCAGATGAGTTATAAAGTTGCAAGAATTGCAGCCGATTCTGCTCCCGCATTACTGGATAACATTAAACTATTTTTCATCCATCTTTTCCAGTATTCTGCAGAGTAAGTACCTTATATGGAGTCACTGGATTATCTGGATTGACTCTGTTTCAAAGCATGTTGAACTGAGAACATATTTTGAAGCTATGAATAATTACACAAAGTGTTGTTTTAGGCGTAAAGCGAATCAAAGCGACCAAGGCTCCTAACGCCTAGGCGAGAAGCGAGAAGCGAGAAGTGAAGCGACACGCTTTACCGAAGCGAAGCGAACAGTTAAAAAAAAAAATTATTTTAGTTTAATTACTTCTAAAGATCTAACTTCGAATTTTATATATACTAAATATTTAAATGCAAGTAAAATCTATTTTTATATACATTCGTAGGCTTATACACATGTACTGAATCACATTTCGGGACAGCAAAACAGAACAACAAAACAGCAGCACAATAGCAAAACAGAACAATATTATTAGATTCAGAACAACAAAACAGAAGTAGGACAGTAAAACAGAGTGTCCAGGTAGCATAATCAGGAAAAAAAAAAAAAGGAGCAGAGTCGAGAAAAAAAAAAACATAAGCAGAAAAAAAAAAAGAAGAACTAGAACCAGAAGAGAACTAACCTCTAACGATCGAGCCTCTGTTCAGTCTCTGTTTAGAAGGAGCAACGATTAGCGAGATCAGTGAGGAAGGAGCAAGTGAGCAATGATCGTCTCTGTCCTCCAGCCTCCAACGATCGTGTAGGAGCAGAGACTCTGCCGGTCGTGTAGGAGCAGCGATCGACTTTGTGTTGTCCAACGATCTGTTCTGTGTTCTGTGTCCAGGACTCCAGCGATCGTGTAGGAGAGTAGCAACGAAGCAATCTGAGTAAAAATTAGAGTTTGGGGTTTCTTTTATGGGATAAGAGAATAATTCGGTATATCAACTTCTTATAATTTTTTTTTCAATTGCCCAATTCAACGGTCCATAATAAAAATAAGACAACTTCGCCTCAAATGACTCGAGCGTTCACTTTTTTGCTTTTCTCAATTTTTCGCTTTTCTTGCTTTTTTCGTTTTTTTCTCGCTTCACTCACATTCGCTTCGCCTGGGGTCTTCCAGGCGAGATCCCTTCGTTTCGGCTCACTTCTCGCTTAGGCGCGCTTTTCAAAACACTGAGTACGCATTTGTTGGGTAAACTTTTTTGCAACGCACTTTTATATACTACATTGGTATTTGTGGTAATATATTCTACGACATATTAGTTGTTTTAGTTAGATCCAGTGATCTAGTCCTTTTTCAATAAAAAATCTCTTTGAGCGTAGCTGCTCTCATTCTTTTCAAATATGACATACAAACACATGTATTTGTGTGTTTATAGATACAAAATATAGTTATGTTTATGCTTTTGAATTTCTTAACAGGAGACTTGGATGGGATCCTAAACATGGGGAGAGCCACTTAGATGCCATGTTGAGAGGCGAGCTTTTGACCGCCCTGGCTATTTTTGGACATGATGCAACACTAAATGAAGCAAGCAGGCGTTTCCATGCTTTCTTGGACGATAGAGATACAAGTGTTCTCCGCCCTGACTTGAGAAGGGTTGATAAACACAAACTGGATTTTTCGTATAAACCTGGTCAGTTCCTGTTTGTCCCGCATCTCATGGACTTGCCTTTTTTTGTTTTCTTTTCCTCTTTTGCAGGCTGCATATGTGGCGGTGATGCAGAATGTGAGCACATCAAATAAATCAGGTTATGAATCACTTTTGAGAGTGTATAGAGAGACTGATCTTAGCCAAGAAAAGACACGAATTTTAGGTAATAACAATTTGTATTTGTTAATTGTGCAAGACAGTAATACATCTGTTCTGTGGCAATTAAGTACCCTTTCGTGATTTGTAGGTTCATTAGCGTCATGTCGAGATCCCAACATTATTCTTGAAATCCTCAACTTCTTGTTGTCGTCTGAGGTAATAATGTAGATGTGTTACTAATTAAGGACCAAACTCTGAAACTGATTAAACTAAAAAATTAAGAATGAAGTTTCTGAGTTTCTTTATTTATTTAGGTTCGAAGCCAAGATGTTGTTTTCGGACTTGCTGTTAGTAGGGAAGGGTGTGAAACAGCTTGGAAATGGCTCCAGGTACTTTCATCTTGTTGCCATTTTAGAAGCATAGACCCATATTGTTTGTTAAGAAGTTACAATATTTGTGCATCACACATTTTCTTTGGCCAATATCCTGATTAAAATCATCCCAACAACTTGGAGACATTGGTTAAATGAGCAATGCTACATGGACTTAAAAAATAGACTTGATAATTACAACTATTGATGTCATTGTGGGTTCCAGCATTTATTGGGACCCACTACCTATTCAATGGTTGAGATTATCAAGTGTAATTTTTAAGTCCAGTTTTTAAGTCCATCTAGCATTACTCTTGGTTAAATAGTTCTGCATGAATGTAGGAGGGATGCACTGGGCATTTACATCTATTCCGGGAAGGGCAAAAATGTAATTGGTGCATAACTTGTATCACTACAGAAGTTAAAATAAATGAGACTATGAATCTTATTTTAGATCATTCATGTAGAGGAATGGTATATTTGGTAGCAATAATAATCGACTTTCATGACATAAAAAGGATAAATTGCACTCCGATCCACTAAGTTATGTTTGTGAAGAAAGCTATCCCATATCGGAAAATTAAGGAGACCTAAGGTTGGTCTATATACTTGAAGGGCCCACCCATTGCCAATTGGTTTTAGATTGAATGCTATAACGTAGTATTAGAGCTGGGCCTTTGGTAGGTGGTGGGCTAAGTCTCTCACCTAGTTAAATTCTATGGTTTGTTTATCTGTCTATTTCAGTTTGGTTTGTTAGCCCACATTTGAGTCCGGGTCGCACATGGAGGAGGGTGTGAAGGGAGCTATCCCATATCAGAAAATTAAGCAGACCCAAGTTGGTTTATATACTTGAAGGGCTACTCCACCTATAGCCAATTGGTCTTGGGTTGGATACTTTAACAATGCTCTAATAATACTATGGCCCGATATTTCCAAAATAAAATTGGGCCTCAATCAAGGATTTTAATTGAGAAATAACTTATTTGCCCTTCAAAATCTTGGTCAAAATAGGTTAAAATTCTTGGTTAGAGTTGGTAAGTGTGAGACAAGACCCCCGCCTCCATTGGCGATTCCTCCCCAGCTGAACCTCCTTATTTGAAGAACCCTCACAGCCCCCTCCTCCCTTGTCATCCCTCCCCTCCTTGCCCCACCCCCCTAAGCAACCGACCCACCTTCAACCAAACCCTTGTGATCCCCTTCTTCTTCAGATACTGCACATATTTTTAGTAAATGAGAGGGTTAGAGAGAGAAGTAATGGAAGTTGATACTTGAGAATGAAAAATATATTGCTACGCATATGCATACAAATATCCATAGGCATATAGAGAGAGAGTGAGAAAGATGTGTGCCTGTCTGGTGTTGTCACAGGTGTTGATGTATAAGGCAGTGACATTGCATGTTGGAGTGAACTCAACGTTGTTCCTTTCTCTTCTCCACATCCAACCATTTCTAAAATCTACTCCGAAGCAATCAATACTGTATTTATATCTTGCACACTCATGGTTTTCTGCAAAAAAATTAGGGAGACTTGAGAGAGTTGGGGGTAGGGTTGGGTCGTCGATTTTTTGTAAAGTACAGCTTCCATTGATTGTGTGTTACTTTGATCATTAGCGGGCAATGCAATTATGTGGATTTGGTGGAGATGATGAGTTAAATGGTGGATTTGGGTATAGGTGCAGGTGGTGGTTACAGTGGTGTTTGGGACAGGGAGCAAGTGGTGGTTTGGGACAGGTTGGATACTGGGGTTGTTGGAGTAGGCAGAGAGAGAGAGAGAGCCCAACTAAGCCGGAGAGGTATTTTTTTAGAACTAAAGTCTAGTTTCATGGTATTTGGAGTCAATTTAACAAAAAAAGGTGTAAATGTTTTAAAACTAGGTTGTTTCCAATAAATTAGGGGCTCATTTGACAAGTTAAAAAGGAAAAAAAAATTGGAGATAGAGAGAGAGGGAGAAAAGAATCAGAGGGACGCAGAAACAGAGAGGATGATGTTTAGGTAAAGAAAAAAGATACATCGATGGCCCAAAATAGATATTTATTCTTGGATTAAGATTAGACCGGATCTATGAAGTTTACATGTAGAGTTTATGGTAAGAATCAGATATTGGTATTGAAATTATAATTGGGTTGCATTCAATAAACTAAGCATTTGAAAGTCTATGACCCTGAAGAAATAGAAGAGTTTGCGAAGTGTAGCAACCTTCAATTTTCATGTTTGCAGTGGTTTGTTTGAAGAGTTGGCGTCTGAGGTTATGTAAGTTGAGATTGTCAAAAGGTAAAATTTCTCCAAAAGAATGGCAGGTGCATTTTAATAACTTTTGCTTCAGGTTGATGGGTTTTATTAGAGTAGCTTGTGTTAAGCAGGATATGTTTGAAACCATAATAAGAAGGGAACTACTAAACACATTTATCAAAGATCATATTTCCAACTATTTGACTTCAAAATATCCATGATGATACTTGGACTGTTTCTTTTTTTTTTTTTACGTTGATATATGAGAAGAAAAAAATATCTATTTTCTTTTCCTTCTTAGTAATGTGGCAAGAACAAAAGAGGAGAAGCTAACTGTTGAGATTTATGTGGCAAATAATTTGTGGATCATGAGAAATTACTGTATCACTCTTTTACTTGGAGATGGATATGTTCTAAAGGATACATTGAAAAAGAACATGATAATTTGTTTGTTATGGGGTTCAACTCCTTGTGTTTGTTCCATTGCATCACCGAAATTAACTTTATGCACAAGTCTAATTATACACAAGTTGTTTCAAGGAATACTTTCCCAGGAGTTTAACATCTTGTTTTCTAACTGTGTTATTCCTTGTATTGGTTGGGATGCAGAACAATTGGGATCACATCTCAAAGACTTATGGTTCTGGTTTTCTGATAACTCGCTTCATCAGTGCAGTTGTGTCACCTGTGAGTCCTCTCTCTCTCTCTCTCTAGTCACGAATTGATGCTTCACTCAAGTTGTGTATATCAAGCATTGTAGTCCTATTTTCGTCTAATTTCTCCCTTTTGTTTTTCCCTATAGTTCTCTTCGTATGAAAAGGCAAAAGAAGTAGAAGAGTTTTTCGCAAGTCGTTCTAAGCCTTATATTGCTAGGACTTTGAAGCAGAGCATTGAGCGAGTTCACATCAACACGAAATGGGTTCAAAGCATTAAGAATGAGAAACATCTTGCTGAGGTTGTACAGGAGCTAGCACACAGAAAGTACTAGGATGCAGTTCTGTGTGACCTGGTTTTGTTCTTGAAATGATGTTCTTTTACTGAACTTTGCTATTCATGACTCGTCTTCTCTCTCTTACATGAGCAATCAATATCTTTTAAATAATAATTACTTGTTTCTTTTTGGAAATTATATTTTGGTGGTTGATAGTTTTACTTCTATATTTCTCTCCTTGTGCTTGCGCATGTTTTGTCTGTTCTTGAAAAGTCCGTGATCAACTATGCTTTGTTTAGAGTGAACAACATTCTGTCTGATATAATACAATTTTTGTTTTGATCAGACTAATAAAATACCATTACTTACTTCATCTTCCCCTTTCATTCCTTTCTTCCACTTCCTGTCTGTAACCATATTTATGAAATTCTTTTACTTTTATCCTGTTCTTTTTTTTTTTACCTCTACTTTGTTTTCTCTTTTCTCTTTGCTAACTTTTTTTTAGATGAAAGAAAGAAGGCATTTCCTTGTAGGAATAGATTTATAAACGATTTTAAATAATCTGAGACTGCCAAGGCCTCTCAAAAGATTCTGATAGAAGAACAAGCTATTCGGAACGCATGGAGCTGCAAAATTGGTACACTAAAGATACAAGTGATGTGTACAAGACAACACGTGCAACGTTGGTACACATACAGCATGCACACAAAAGATATATCATCTTTGTGCAATGCTGATTTCTTAAATTCTATAACATCACTCATTCCAAAAAAATCCTACAAAACTAGTGGGACGCATTGTTGCTATATGCATGCTCCTCCAATTTCAATGACTGATTAACCTGAAAAGAAATAGCAATGATACCTTAGATCACATAGAGTGGGAGCGAGAGTGAGAGTGGTAAAATTCAAAAAAAATCTAAGAGCGAGAAGACCTTGAGAGTAGGATATTTTACAGATAGATGCATGCATACTAACAAATAAAAATATATTTAAAAATTAAATTTTAGGCATAATATGTATATGGGATGGATTCCATGTTTTTCCCAAATTCATGAGTTATCGAAAGTGTCATTTCATCTATCTTTAGCCATTGTTGATTATGAAGCAACGAGTGATTGATAATGGGGCAAGGGTTTGAACTTTGAATGGCTGGCTGGTAAACAAGTAGGGGGAGAGTGCCATGGAATTAGATGGATTGATCCTTGGTGAGAATCGAACAGATTATGCTGTTTTGGTGAGAGAGAGAGAGAGAGAGAGCGCTGTTTCTCTAGCGACTGGCGCACGGAGGGGCAGCAGAGAGAGCGTTGAACAATAGCTTGCTGGCCAGAGGACGTTCAACGTGTGATTGAGGTCCTTGGCCTTTTGTCAAATTCACTCTGAAAGTGCGATTCCGCATCCCGAGCTGGAGAGCGTGGGGACAATTTGTGTGTCTCAGATGATACCCATTAACAATGTTATCAATTGAGCTCTTAAAAGAACAAATGGATCGTGTGTACCTCAGAAGTGTGAGATCGGTAAAAAGTTGGATGGTAGTCAAAGCCATGGTTGACAGTTTTTGGCCGAAAATGTATGATAAAAACAGCCTCCTTGTAACATACTTGGATGCTCAACTGGACTTCTCCTAGTCTAACTAGCAATCCCACTTATGTCCGGCTATAACTCCCTCCTCCACCAAAGTGCTACAAGTGCTCTAAATGTACATTATATACGATCTAATCACATTCAGTTTGCTTGAGACACAATACCAAATGGAAGAAATGATAGAAAAAGTATTTTTACATTTAAGGGGTAGCAACCTTGTGATCTGAGCATTCCTATACATTTCCACATGCATCAAAATTCTGCAATTATATAAACCAATTTATACCTTATCTTTTAATTAAAAGTTAGACAGTCACATTATAAAAGCGTTGTTGGGACAATATTACCTTCACTACATAAAGTCTATCTTTATTTTTCCTTCCTTTTTCTCTCTTCACAGCTTTTTCAGTTGTAGATGGTTTCCTTCTAGTTGACAGTCGCCCCTTGATACCAATAGCTATTGGTGTCAGTATATTTCTTCTCTTCTTTTGAAATTTCCAGGTTCATTCTCACGCTAGGCATAATTAAGGATTTGATACACATTCTATCAAATTGACGGGATTTAGGTGAGCAAACCAGTTGTTAGCATAACTGATGCGTATTTTGGTATGCCTTATTTTGATTGTTGTACTCCATCTTTTTAAGAAATTACTTGTTTGGAATCTTATACATTTTCTTATGAATGGGCACTTTAATTGCATACCTGCACAAAATTCCATGAAATTCAATCAATGGCAAATTGCCATTTGCTTCATTGACAACGTTGTTTCATGAAACTCCAAACACTGCATAATGATAACTTTCCCCAAACTGACACACCTTCACCTACTTTATATTCTTAAATGTACACGTCATTAAATGAAGAAAAATCACGATATATCTTCCCTGATACTTCTTGATGGAACTATTTAAATTCCAGCGTGGGGTAAAAACCTTTGGAATTGCTTCTCCATCTTATGATGAGTAACACATGAGAGCCACTAGTTGAAAGAACTGAAGTATTCATGGTTTCTTTTTCCATGTTATCTCGCAATGCATTCTTATAGGGCTAGCAAGGTTGCTGAAGGCATGTCTAGTCCCCCTTCCAAAGAGGCTTAGGTCTGGTGGTTCTCCTAAATTTGGGGTTCTGCCAACTGTTTCCAAATCAACTGAAGTGATTCCTCTAGATATAGAGTCTTCTCCTAACACTTCTCGCACTAAGAAGAAGAGAGTAGTTGAAAAAAATACATCTGCCCCTAAGACAGTTGAGGGAGCCCCTAGCTCTTTTGTTGCCAAGCTGGCAGACCTAGCTCTACCAATATGTGGAATAATGAGAACTTAACCTGAAAAAGGTTCTAGAATTTTGTGACGAGTCCTGAAGTACCTGTACAAGAGGTAACTAGGCTGGGGGCGGTATAATTTCATTTCATAGGTTCTTTTAATCGCCTGTCTCACAACTTGCTCTGAACAGCTTTTTTTTCATTTATATGATAGGCCTCTATGCTAACTGTTGTTCCCAAAAAATAGCACCAAGGTGAAGCGATGATCTGGCAATCACCTGTGAGTTCCTGCACAGAAGTCGAGGATCGAAGGGACTTCAGTGGTCGACTTTCCGATGATAAAGTCAGTAAAGGAAGTGTTATTTCCGTGGGGCATTGCTACCTCCTTTCCTTTATAGGCTAAGTTACTGTTACTGTTGGAGCTCTGTAGTTGCTTTTCAAATTGGATGGCAAGAAATGTGAAACCTCTTTCCCCAAGTTTCTGTAATTGGTTTGAGCTAAAATGGTGGGATATGGGCAAGCAAACCGATGGGTTGGTTTGGGTTCCAGAGCTGCCTCCTCACACCAGATCCAATCTCACATGCTTCTCTCATGATCCCCTTTGGCACATGCTTGTACTTGCCATGTGTTTTACCCTAGGACATATTTAGCTCCATCAGTTGCCCCCTGACTCGGACCAGTAGAAGGTACATTGAAGGCATTGATTACATTTGTCTATGGGAAAGAGTAGAAGCATCTGCTTGGTATACTCAACCACCATAGGATCGTTGTAGACCCAATATATAAGAGTTCTCCGCCTTATTCTCTAATTGTCTTTGAGAGCTTCTAGAATTTTGGTGCGCCTTTGATTCCTTGCCCTACTCTCCTTTTGCATTCCTATTTCAACGCGATTTCTCACTCTAGATCACATAGGTTGGAGCCACGTATTTCAATTTCTCTTTTATCTATTTTACTTTTTGAGGTGGAAGAATTCTGACCTAGAGCCTTTAGGGTTTTTCATAAGCGAATCATTTGTGCTTGTCTTGTTTCTGTATTCGATTTTTGTCTGCCAACGAGGAAGATTCTAACTCCATTCAAGAGGTTGGGTCCTCAACCTTGAGAATCAACAAAGCTAAAAGTATCTTTAGCTGTCTGGGCCAGGGATTTCTTAAAGAGCTTAGAGATCGATACTCAATTCCAAGCTTTGTGCGCCCTCAGATCCCCTCTTCTAATGAAATCGCTAATTCCTTCTTCCTTGAGGAAGTCTACTTCTACGAGTCCACCTTCGAGGTGGGCGTCCATTTTCCCACTCCCTTAACTATATTAGAGAGGCTCTCTATCTTTTGAACCTTGCTCTTGCCCATTTGACTCCTAATAGTTGGGTTATTTTTATTGGTATGGGCATCCTCTGAGGCAAGGTGAATGGCATCGGCGTGCAACCCTCCTTTGCTAAGCTGCTACACTACTACCAACTTACTCCTTGCTCAGGGTAAGACTTGAAGTGGTTTTATTTGTCGAAGAGAGAGGGTTTTTCTCTTTTGACTGGCTTCTCCTCCAATGTGAAGGAGTGGAAGGTCAAGTTTTTCTTTGAAACTTTTTTCGGGAACTCTTTCTGAGTCCCTCATTGCTTGGTTGTTTCCCTTGCTTCCCACACGATCCCGATTATGTGTATGGCTAATAATGAAGGGTGAGTATCACTCTCACTCAAGCTCGTACAAGATGCAGAAAAATTGTGTGTGGATGAACAAAAACGTGTGTGACTATGCAAAAATGCTCACCAAGCGTAGAGAGACTTATAATGTCGTGTTTTAACTTGAAAAAAGTTTTGAGGTCGTCTCCTCAGGCAAGGTTAGGTTAAGTGTTTTCGAAAGTGATTTGTGAGAGGGAAAAAAAAAGAAAATATTGTGATTTGAAGTTTGGTGGTTTATGTTTTGAGAAATATGCAAGTAAAAAGAGGGTTGGTTAATCCATAGAGTTCATTCCAATGGGTATGCCAAATCAATTCGTTCCATTCAACCAATGGTGCATAAGTGTTTGATTGATTTGTAGGAAACGAGAGATGAATGTAATTGCTTGGACAAGAACATATCTCGTAACAAGTCTACGGTGTATCAAAAACCTACAACCACATTCATCCACATGCAACCTAGTCAAACCAAACACTTTACACTATGAGGAAGAATGAAAGAGAGTCGATTTCACATACCCAAGAGGAAATCTCTCTTAGATTAACCAACTAAAGGTTTAGCTACCCATAATAAAAGCAAGACAAACATGGAAGAGAAAAACATGGTAATAAAATCAAACATTAACTTGTACTAATGTAAGAAAAAGTTTAAACTACAAAAGAAATAACATTCATATACAAAATGTAAAGCTTAAAGAGAAAGTATCCAAATACAAGCAATAAAACTAGTAAACCCTAGCTAAAACTCAATACAAGTTGAAATAAACGAGATTAATGTGCTAGAAAGAAAGATTACATATACATTGAAGCTTACAAGAATGAAAATAGTGAAAAAAATAAAAACCCTAGCTTTCTCTCTCTACACTACTCCTAAGCTTAGGTAGCCTCCCTCTCTAACCCTTGCTCTCTTCAAAACTCCTGAAAGAGAGATATATATAGATCTAGTGGAAAGTGTGGATAATTCCTGGTGAATTCCTGATTTTAACCGTAGTTTTCTGATTTTTTTTAACTGGAGTACCGGTACCTCAACTCTTGGGTACCGATACCCAAGTGTTTTGCATTTTTAATGATAACTCAAACCAATTTTTGTAGATTTATCATAATTTTTTATCCTAAAATCCAATTGTGCTGAAATTTTGACATGAGATAGAGGACATCCAGATCTACAACTTTCAAGTTTTTCACTTGTTCAAATTTGAAGTGGATCATGATCAAAAATATAAAACTACTGGGGTACCGGTACCAATATTCCAGTAGCTTCAAACCACTTGGGTACTGGTACCAATTGTTTTGGTACTGGTACAACTATGTTTTCTTTATTTGAAGCCTCTAAATCCTCATTTAATGTGTCTATATTTTCACCACTCATCCACACTTAGTTGTAGGGTTTCAAAAACCATCATTTACCCTTTGATTACCTGCAATATCAAAGTTTTCACATTATTCATAAATTCGACTAACTCTAAGTAATTAAATGCAAAGTTGAGTCAAAATGCATGTAATGAGATTATTAAATATGCAATATTACATGTTTATCACACCCCCCAACTTAAGCTTTGCTTGTCCCTAGCAAACTAAACATAAAAATTAGGCAAACAAAAATAAACATACACTAATACTGCTATTACATTTAGCACGTGCAACAAGCCATTAAACCCCTAGATGATCCCTAGTGGACGAGTTTTGTCTCGTGAATGTTTTCAATGAAGGTACCTACAAACTTAATTTTCTCAATCCAAAATTTGAAACATATTCCCTTATGCAAACTAGCCTTGAGGTGTCAAAAACAGCTTTCTCCAATGCACCCAAACTAATCACACATGAATCACTTCATAATCTTAAATTCTATTCTAGAGTATCCACCTACACATTTCCTTTCCAAACTCGTGTGTGTGTGTGAAATGAATATGCAATTTAAGTCTTTACTCAACAAAATCCACATTCATTTAGCTATTTAAATTCAGTCTTGATGCAATTCTCACCAAGAGTTTCTCTAAAAAATGAATAAATCTATGATTATCTTAATATGCTCTCTATGTGTATATGTAGGATAGAATTTTATGCACAAACCGAGATAACACTCACATATAATCCAGAAATGATGTGCATGCTTAAAAATTAAAACGACCTTAGCATAATCTCATGAGTAGAATGTAAGAACAATAGATAGTAAAACCAACTTTTCTTTTCATTAAAAATGTGCTCTCACTGTGCTTTCTTGAGATCAATTAGGGGGAACACTTGTGATGTCAGAGTACAACCACAATGAACAACAATCCTAGCAAATGTTTATATTCAAAAACAATTGATGTAGAAAAAGAAAACAAATAGTTTTCTGTTTTGAACATAGTTTTTGAATGACCTCAAGAACTTGCTCTTCTTTATCATAGGGATATTCAGCTGCAGAATTTGGAGGTTATTGTTTCAGATATTAGCACATTTGATATGGAAGCATCTTATGACCGAATATTTTCCATTGAAATGTTTGAGGTAAGCAATCATTGTCAAATGCTATCATAGGGCCTGAAAATTGTCGTTAATAACACTGAAGGAACGACTGTTTTGTCCTTTGAAACAGCAAATGAAGAACTACGAGGATCTTCTTCAGAAGATATCTAGGTGGATGAAACCAGATAGTCTTCTTTTTGTTCATTATTTCTGCCATAAATCATTTGCTTACCACTTTGAGGTATACACGAGTTTCCTAATTCTTCTTGTGGGTTCCTGTACTATTTGGCACCATAATGAAGTGGTTTACATGATAGTGACAAAATTTCCTCGCACACATTTTGTGCAGGATGTCAAGGATGACGACTGGATTACTAGGTACTTCTTTACCGGAGGTACAATGGCTTCTGCAAATCTGCTTCTTTATTTTCAGGTGAGCTAGTACAGTTCCATTTGCCACCTTATGACTTCTCCTTTCTCATGGTTTGATATTCCTATATGACTTTGTTTCCAAATGTCATTTCCTAGTTGCCTTTGTTCGCTTGATTTGTTTTTTTCCCGGACACTTCCCTGTAACTAATGCCTGGAGGGATTAAAACTCACCCTTTTTGTTGGACTTTTTTTCACAAAAACATAGGAGATCATTGTTCCAATAGACCATTTATGCAGTTCGTTGAAACAAATCACGTGTATTGGTCTTAAACTTTCATTAGTCGAACGAGGAATCACATGTTGTCTCTTTTGCAAACTATTAAAGCCACAGCATGCATGTATTTTGTATGTCACTTGTCTAAAGCGATAATGGGTTTGGAGAAACCGAGGATTAGAACCCACCAGCACATGAAAAAATAACAATGTGATGGTGGCATCTGTGTTGATTCTCAGAGAGTTATAATCATATAAGGGTCGATCATATTTACCTTGTAGACTATCACTTGCTCAGAAGCTTTATGGCGGACATTCCCATTTAGTTAACCATGATATCCTAATTGTGGTTTGAAACTGTTTTCATGCTCCAAGAAGGTTCTAAAACATACAATAATGATTGACATTATTACAGCAGGAACTTGGCAATTCAAATCAGAAAACTGTAACCATGAATTATAACGTGCAATTCATTTATTCATGGTGTTTGTGTGCAGGATGATGCTTCTGTGGTCAATCATTGGCTTGTCATTGGGAAGCATTACGCACAGACAACATAAGGGTGGACTATGATGTATAATTACCCTCCAGTGGTGAAAATGTGAAGCTAATCTAAGCTAGATTAGGCTTTTGCTTTAGTTTCTATTCGTCCCTGCAAATTGATGGAAGTTAATATTTGCCTAGTTTGACTGATTGGTCTGATTGAAATGCTGATGGATCTTTTGGTTCTGCGTTGCATGAGAATGCTAGTTATAGATTCAATGCAAAAGCTAAAAAACTAGTAGTTTCTTGCAGTGAAAAATGGCTTAAAAGAATGGACAAGAATTTAAGTTTCATAAGGCCAACAATTACCAATGGGCCTTTGATCCAATGATACTCATTGTCTTGTAAAGTCTTTATCTTCTTAAGATCAAGAGTTCAAGCCCCCTTCTCCCTCCCCAAAAAAATAAAAATAAAAAAAGCCAACAATGGAGTCGACATATGGAAAGGATTCGGCTGTCCAGTGGACTGTCTATTGGAGAACATTTTTCATAGCAGTTGCAGAACTATTTGGGTACAATAATGGAGAAGAATGGATGGTTGCTCTTTATCTATTCAAGAAGAAATGAAGTCGATCATAAAATTGCAAAAAAGAATGAGTCCTTCTTGTTAATAAGGAAAGATACAATTGTGGTTGTGGTATCGGAGATCTAATTGTTTGAAGAAATTTGGGATGAACAACAACTACATGTCCGGACCTTGTTCCTTGCATCCTGAAATTGGAGGACTCCTCTGTCTATTGTTTTGAAGATGTTCACTTGTAAGTTTTTATTGGTGTTCTTGTAGACTTGCACTGCAGATAAATTTTGGAGGCATGATGGCTTCAGGCTGCTTAATAAAGGTCAGCACTTCTACAAAAAAACTGCAAGTTATAATTAGGAAGTACTAATGTTATTAGGACATAATTTAAAAACATAATTTGAAGACTTAATTCATTGTGATCATTTTATTGATAATAGAGCGCAGGTACCCACTGACAATCCAGTAATCACAGTTATTAATTCCTCAAATTATGTCTCAATAACATCTTTAAACGCTATTAATATTGATATAAAGTTAGGTGTACTGTGGAGCAATGCTATGGAGATTTAATTTAGGGACCTAATTCAACAGAGTCATTGAATTAGTTGTAAATTTCACTAGTAGATGGAACCCACTTTCAATTCAAAGATTGTGTTAAATCAAGTCCTCAGATTAGGTCTAAATAACATTTTCCACTCCGTCAATAATTATCAGTCAAGTTCAGATGAGCCATTTCAGACGTGGAAATAACATCACCAATCAAGGTATGATCCATGTTCCACTGAAGAAAGATTGGCCTACACAATGGGGGTCAAGAAACCAGCATTTGATGCCAGGTCCCTGGTACAAGTATCAGCAGATATAACCTGTGAGGCCATATAACTAAAATGTGGTCTAGTTTACGATGCTCACGTGAGACTGGTTCATAACTCAAACCCATAATATCTGTCATAATGGAGCATTCTTATGAATTCTTGGCTTGTCAACCTGTATCACTAAATAGTGTGAATTGCATTTTGCATAGAGTAACAATGCCATAGGGAATAAAGAGAATTTTCAACATTAAATGCCAAGGATAAAACCATCATATTAATACAACACGTTGTCTAATTCCAACCAATAAATGCCTCCAGAATACATCATTCCTAGCAGCAAGTTGTGATCCACCCCTACCACACAAGATTTCAGATCACTATATGGACAATACTTGGGCTAGAGACCGAGATTGCAAGACTTTGCGAAACCATTGAGTGGATTAAGGGCTGAAACAATAAGAGCCGGAATAAGGTCCAATCATCAGAAAGTGGACCTCATGCCAACAGAAACTTGGAGTTGGAACAACCCCAATTGAAAATTAATAAATCTGGTAGATAGTGAGTTCAAACTTCAGTGACATGGAGGATGCATGAACTGAATGCCCATGAGCCATTCTCAGGAACTTCAGTCCCCATGCTGGGTGATGCTTTCAGCAGCAAACACAATTCCACGATTACCTTTAAGAGCACAGAGGCTATCATAACCCTATTAAACAAGTGCCCAAATGAGCTCAATCATCATGATAGTCTAATCTAAACTCTATGTGCAAGTTAGATCTTATGGCAGATACATCCCAATGAAATGAGAAAAGGCGATGAAAAATATGTGCAGTCCTCTACATGCACGCTGCTTATTAACTGAGTAAAACTGTGTGGAAACTAGTGAAGAATATTAAATGCATCCAAAAACTAATGAGACCCAGAGGATGCCTAACATGAACTTTCACAGAAACACAGTGTGACTGGATAAGGTTTAAACAGTTCATAGTTGCAAAATTTCAAGTTTTTGTAAGGACGTGAGTAATTTTTTAAGTTCTAAGTTCACTCTTTGAGAACGCGTGGAAAGATATCTAAACCCAAAAAAATAGACACAGAAGAGGGGAATAATTGCTCTTTCATTATAACAATTACCAATTAAAAATAATCAAGTCAAAACAAGTAATCAATCACAAGAACAAAAACAAAATCGCATGCAATGGAAAAAAAAAAAGCACAAATTATACTCTTGTCTAATATCTCTTTAGACAAACCCTTACACCACTTAACTCGTGTCTAATGTCATCTCTGATGAAGTTTGGGTCACACTCCTACTCCCGAACGCTTGCTAACTTATCCCCTTCAGTTCACAACATGTAAGACCTTGTACAAAATTAGAGATTGACAACATGATTTTAAGAGTACTTTCAAATGATGATAAGAAGTTTGAATCGTTGATTGAAGAAATGATAATGAAGTTTGAGTTTTGTGGTTAATGACTTTCGGGTCAAATTTAGTTTCGGAAGTATTTACGCTTGAGAAGGGTGATTAGGTATATTTCTAAAAGATTTTAAGTCAAAATAATGCTACAATTGAACCCGGAAATTCAAGAAACCCTAGGAGAGGTGACATGGAGTGTATTGAAAATTTGTAAGTATTCCGGAGTTGAAACACATTTTAGATAAAATTCGAGTTAGAAGAAATTTGACACTACCTTAGTATTTTTGTCATAATTTTTTACCCCAATATCCGATTGACATGATTATTGAGTCATTAGAAAATAGACTTCAAGGCCTACAAAAATATATTTTATGAAATTTTTGTAAATTAGTTTGTAACTAGGTTAAAGTCGAACCGAAAATCTGGAAAAAAATTTATCAGCATTCGGACCACTGTTATCAGAACCGGACCGGACCGGGCGGTCGGACCGGTTCAACCGTGAACCGGGACCCTAACCGGTCCGATTCCTTAGTTGAACCATTTAAGGAAGCGAACCGGCTAAAAACCGAAAAATCGGCCGATTTTTAACAAAAACCGGTTTTTAAAAATTAAATTGCATAAATAAATTTTTTTGCCCTAAATCAATAAATAGTTGATTTTTTTTAACCTTATTCTTGGAAAAATTATAAATGACACCCCTTCTTTTTCTTTATAATTTACTTGAACCTCTTTACTTTACTTTAAAATACAATAACCCCTACTTTGTTACTTAATTTCATTAATTTTATGGCAAATTTTATGTATTTTATATTTTTTAGCTAAATTATTAAGTTTTATAATTATTATATATATTTTTATTTTTTTATTATATGACCGGTCCGACCAGTTGACCCAACGGTTGAACCAGTGAACCATTGACCTGGTCCCCTTGCCGGTTCGATGACCGGTTCGGTTCTGATAACATTGATTCGGACACCTCAAGAAGCGTTTGGACGTTTGTCTAGAAAGTGAAATTGTGCGAAATGAAGAGTTGATAGCGTTTGGACGCCCCCAGAACCGTGTGGACACCTTGCTAAAAACGTCTCCGATCAATTTTTAAGGTTTTCTATGTTTTTGATACTATAAATACCCTAGAACCGCATTTTAGTGTTTCCATGCATGGTTTTCAACCCCAACAAGTGTAAGAAAGTCTTGAAGAGATGAAAAGGAAGAAGATGAAGAGATTGGGATTGATTTTAAGAATACTAACGTTTAAGAAATCACACAAAACGCTTTAGGAGTAATTTTCTATGGATCAAGGTAGGGGTTCTTTCTGAAACTCATTCATTGAGAAATTAGGTTTATACTATGTATCTTTTCATTTTTTTTTGTAATTATATGCAAGAATGGAGGAAACAATAGACCAAGGGGGCACTTGCCCACCCTGAAAAAAAAAATTGTTACCTATATATATATATATATATATATATATATATATATATATATATATTATTTGTTTAAGTGTTCCAAGTTCTGACTATGCCCACCTAAGACAAAAAGAAATAAGATTTGCCCATACAAAAACTAACTGTGCCTACTCAATACAATAAAAATAAGGCTGGGCCCACCCACTTCAACCCTTCCTCTCCTCTTTTCTGTCTCTCTCTCAACGCCCAACAACCCTTTCCTTATTCCTCTCTCCCACTTTTCTACCATAGCCTATGGAACCCCACCACTAAGACCACACCTAGTAATCCTCCCTCTCTCTCTCTCTCCCCCCGCAAACAAAGCACCCACGATACCCGGTCACTCACTCACACAGAACACATCACTCAATTGGGTTTTAGTTATTTACTGATTTTTTGTGTATTTTGCCCTAATCTAATTTTTTGTGCATTTTAACCCTAATTACTTTCCTAATTGTGATAGTTAGTATTTACAAAGTGATGCAATTTGGATGACTTGAAGACACCGATATGGTTAATGATGGGTGGACTTACGAGTAACAAGTTAAGCCCTTGAGCTACTAAGTCGACAAAAACAAATATTTTTTTAAAATCCGGTAACTCTCAGTTCAGAACTATCTATAATTCTTTGTAATGGCCTTACTTTTTTTATATTGCTTGGATTTCTTCAAATTATGGATTGGTTGAAATTTGGTTACAATTAGAAATTGCAATTTTATGCTTTAATTTTCAAATTTACTTGAACTTTTGGTTTATTGTGTTCTTGTATTTGTTTCCTACTACAATATCTCCTTTAATATGTTAGCAATAAAATTAGCAAAA